ACAGACCTGCGGTTACCCTTTCGGGGGTGCCAGGGGGAGAGGCAGAAGGGAGAAATGCCGTTGACTCACCTCCCACCGTGTGCCAGGCACTGTGTGTATCCTGTTGCCTATACTCAGAAAAACATGGCTTGTCACCTGCTTTTTGCGGGTGACGAAATAGAGCTGTAAAGTGCCTCACTCAAGGCCACACGTCTATGAGGTGATTAGACCACGTAAATACCCTTGTATGTGCCTACGGAACTCCTCCCACTGAGCTACACGACCTTTTTGCCAATATCAGACCAGGCCTGATTGCTAAAGACACTCAGCCCATTCCAGAACACTTATCCATAGAAAAACAGCATTCTGGGAGGTGTTCCTAGTCAGCAAGGACTCTGCCACTAGCTAGGCTGTGTGACCTTTCATGAGTGACTTCACCTCTCTGTGCCTCCTTTTTCCTCAGCTAATAATAGCATCCACCTCAGCGGGTTGTGAGGCTTAAAGAGCACAATGTATATTATGACTGTATTGTATACATCATATATAGTGAAGCCCTTTGTGCAGTCAGTGCTCCATAAATATTAGCTTTTGCGAGTATCATTATTATTATCCTCTTATCCAGCCTGGCCATTCCTTTCTCTTTTAGAAGGTTGCTGCTGAACGCCCCGTAACAAAAATTGAGGGTTCTGCCTCACTCTCCTTCAAGCCTTAATTCCAGGGAGCAGTGGCTCCCTACCGTTTATGGACCATCTACTATAGATCAGGCATTCTGTGGTTTCTCATCCTCAAATCACACTCGTGTGGGGGGAAGTGGCATCTCCTTTCTGCCGTCAAGATAAGCCAGGCTTATAAGGTTTAAGTGCTATGCCCAGGTGGGCTCCAGCCTCTAGCAATGGAGCCCAACGTCTGAGACCCCCAGGTAGCTGGACCCCTGCATGAAGTAAAGTGGGCTGCAAACCTGCCAGGATAGGTGGAGTAGGGAAGGGAGCGAAGAAAGTTCAGGTCATGGTGTTTTCATCCGGGGCTTAATTATTTTCTGCTGAGCCCTCGGCAGCAGCAGGGGGAGGGGGACACCCCACAGGAGACCCCAAGGGACCAGAAGTGTGCGCAACAGGAGAGAGCTGCTGGGCTGCCTACCGAGGTCAGCAACGCAACCTGCCAGCTGGGGAGCCGCCACTCACAGTGCAGCTGCGGCGCCAGGATGCTGAGGATCATCATTTCCATGGCATCGGCCATCTGCGGGGAGGAAGCAAACGTCAGGAGGCCGGGATGCTGCCTGGGGCCGGGGACCCCTGGGCCCTCGCTGAGTCCACGACCCCAGAGAGAGCGTGTAGAAAGCCCCTCTTCTACTGCCTGCTGAGTGCCCCACCACACCTGAAAACACACTGACTCCAGGGGTCAAAACAGCGTGGGACCAGGCGGGAACTGACAAACAGGCTTTGACATTCTGTGTGTGTGTGTGTGTGTGTTGCATGTTTAAAAACGTAAGGGCACTCCCCAAACGAAGTAGGAAAGCATCATATTTCTAAAATCCGAGGAAAATATTTTTATGGAAGTCAAGAGACGAGGATCAATGAGAGTCTAGTTGGTCTTTGGTTTACAGGTCATTGTTCACATAGAACTGTCAGTATATTTAAAACAAGTGCGACCTTTTAACATATTAAAACATATTAGGAAGCTCTGGCAATTAAACATCCTGGTACCTTCGTGGGACTAGACAGACAGAACCACGGGACAGAAATGAGAGTCCAGAAGGAGACCCATGTGGCCGTGGGACTGTTGTGGACGATATAGGTGGCCTTTCAAAATGGTGGGGAAATGAGGTGCGGAAATTGACGATCCATTTAGAAAAAGATGTGGTGTGGTCACGGCCTCGCACCCACAAAAATCCGTTTCAGTAGCATTAAAAGTCTACATGCGTTCTTTGCTCTAGGCAGCTTAGAGAATTTTGACAAGAGAGCAAGAGCCTCTCGAAGCAGAAGGCGTGTTTTCATCTGTGCATGTTTGTCTGGGGAGAGCTCCACAGATGACATCCTAATTCCATAGTAACCCTGAGCCCCAGAGGGTTGAGGATCACTTAATCAGCCAGAAGCTTCAACTCCTTGTTGAGGGCAGTCGCCAAACGCACCCGGCTCCCGCAAGCACAGACTTTCCTCATCACCAGGGTCACTCAACATAGACTTTGTTCATTCAAGCACAGGGTCTATGTGGAGGGAACTGCGTCCTTCCCTGTAGCCCATGGAAACCCAGTTGAGCACCATGATGGGGGTTCCTTGGAGACTGAAGGTGAGGTCACTGCCCCCAGGAATACTTGCCCAAGCCAAGCCGGTGAGAACAGACAGCTTCCATTGGAATTTTCCAAAGCCAATGGCTTCCACCGCATCTTCCACCATGAAAGTATCTGGGAAGGAGAAAGGGGGAGGGGAGGAAGGAGTTAGGGCATCTTAGCGTTGTCCTAGTGTGTCCTAGAACTTAGCCTAGAAAAACATTCCAGCAAGTATGAAGAGATAACTTGCTACAAAGCCCACTGCAACATTGTTTACAAAAGGGAAAACTGGAAAACCCAGAATGTCTACCAATAGGGAATTGGTTAAATAAATTATTTTATATATTATACATAAATTTTTATATGTCCACTTTATGAAATACAGCTCAACTGTTAAAAAGAATGTGCAGGGGCTGGCCCAGTGGCGCAGAGGTTAAGTTTGCACGTTCCACTTTGGCGGCCCGGGGTTCACTGGTTCAGATCCTGGGTGCGGACATGGCACTGCTTGGCACGCCATGCTGTGGTAAGCGTCCCACATATAAAGTAGAGGAAGATGGGCAGGGATGTTAGCTCAGGGCCAATCTTCTTCAGCAAAAAGAGGAGGATTGGCAGCAATTAGCTCAAAATTACCAATTACCTCAAAAAAAAACAAAAAAAAGAATGCGCAGATGTAGAAAGATGCATACAACATATTGTTAATTAATTTTTTTTAAAGCAAAGCAAGATGGACCAAGAGAAATAAGATAAGGGCCAGCCCGGTGGTATAGTAGTTAGGTTTGCATGCTGCGCTTCAGTGGCCCAGGGTTCACAGGTTCGGATCCTGGGCACGGACACCGCTCATCAAGCCATGCTGTAGCAGCATCCCACATACAAAATAGAGGAAGGTTGTCACAGATGTTAGCTCAGGGCCAATCATCCTCACCAAGAAAAAAAAAAAGAAGTAAGATTAAGTGTCCACAAACTGTTAACAGGGTTCTCTTTGGGAACAGCACTCACTTTCCTACTTTTTACATTTCTACATCTGAATGCTTTCCAAATAAACGTGTTATTTGTATGCTCAGAAAAAAACAAGGATCTAAATTATAAGCTCATAAGTGTTTGGAGAAATACTAAAAGACTAAACACATGGTGGTATGGTGGATCGGCTCTTGTCACAGCACTGCTGGAAAAACTGGTAAAATGGGAATAAAGTCTGGGATTTAGCACACAGCATTGCACCAGTATGGTTCATTTCTTAGTTTGACAAATGTACTGGGGTTAGGTAAGAGATTGACATCAGGGAAGCTGCAGGAAGGGTATGTGGGAATTCTCTGTACTATTTTTGCAACTTTTCTGTAAATCTAAAACGATTCCAAAATAAAAAGTTACTTAAAAAATAAAAATACAAAAGGAGTGTGCTGGGCGGCCTTCTGTATGCTGCCCCTGAGGATGTCATCAGCCACTGCCAGGAGTTGTCATCTTTTTGGAATGTCAATCATGGGTCTCTTCTGCCATTCATAATTTTCTCCAGAAGTTTGAGCTGGTGTTTGTCACACCAGACGGTTCTGGTTTCTTCCAGCAAAAATATTGAGGAGAAGGCGGAGTGAGCCTTACAACATCATCGATAACGAGAACCGTAATAATAATAATATGATGGTGCATTTATTGAGAGCCAGGCACTGCGCTAAGAGCTCAGTGTGCACTCTCTCATTTAGTCCCTGTCAAAACTGTTAGTTAAGGCCTAGTCGCAGCCCCAATGCACAGAGGAGGACACGGACTTGCCCAGTGTCACACAGCTGGCACACTGTGGAATAAAGCCACTGCTCTAGCCACTGCCCACCCCTCCAGTCACCGCCTCCCTGGGTCTGTCAGCAACAGACCTTGGGTTCAATTAATCCTCTCCCATGCTGGGAATCTGGGGCCTTCAGGAATGCATGGCATGTTCTAGTCCATAAGCATCGTGTGGTGAGGGGAGACCGAGAGGCGGTCTCCCCAGGGCACTGCCTCAGGTCTCTTGTTGACCAGCTCTACTCAGAGGCAGCACAAGGTCATGAGTAAGTACGTGGGCTCTGAGGTCAGATCGCCCGGGTGTAAATCCAGCTAATTTCTAGCTGTGTGACCCTGGGCAAGATACTTAACCTTTCTGTGCTTCAGTTTCCTCTTCTGCAAAATGGGGGAGATGATTTTAATAGTTCCAGTTGGAACTGTTGTGAAGATTAAATGGGTAATAAGTGTAAAGTGCTTAGGACAATGCCTGGCACGGAGTAAGTCCTCGGCCAATGTCAGCTGCTCCCTTCACTATTGTTGTCATCACTACCGCCGTCATCATCACCACCAACATCATCACACTATCATCATCACCATCATTGTCACCAGCATCACTGTCATCACCACCATCATCATCATCGTCATTATCATCATTGTTGCTCCCATCCCCAGCCAGGTGTTACACAGTGATGCTGACTGGCAGCGATGGTGATATAACCTTGACTACTGAAGTAAGCCATGTGGGTCCAACCCACATTTCCAGTGTCACCCCTGGGCCCTCTTGGCCCTCCTACCCACCCCTTCACGAGATCCCTCTGAGAGCACCACCTGGGGAGGCAACCCTGAGAGCCCCTGACTGTGGCCCAGGCTGATGCTCCAACTGCAGGGCCCCCTCACCGTCGGTGGGATTGGCAAACTCCTTGGGCACAGCAGCCCCATCGTCCAGCTCAACAGCCTCTAGGCCCGTGCGGACCCCTTCAATCTGGACCTCATGCTCTCCGGAAGCCGTGTCGTCCTCTGACCTTGCACTCTCACCCGTGCGACGGAATTTCACCACCCTAGAGGACAGAGAAAATCAGGTCATGATGGTTAGAACTCCCCTTCGACGTCCTTGCTTTACAGCTCTTGTGCCCAAGACAGGTGAAAGGCTTTTTCTCATGGTGTGGACAGTTGCATGGGTAAGGGGTTGGCATTTCTGTTGAGTTGGACTGTGGGGGGTGACAACTTCAAGAGTTATGTATCAGGGCTGCCACATACAGTTGTACAGGTTGGGCACTGCACAACTCCAGGGGGACCCTATTCACATGGTAAGCTATTCAAATGAGGATATTTTTGTTCTAGACCTGAATACTATTTGGAAGAACATGTGTTTCAGAATTTAGACTCATCGCTCTGTAACAGAGGTAACAATTTGATCGCCTGAGGGTTGCATTATGCCCACAAAAAGTTGCCCACACGGTATTTTTTTAAGTGGATGCCAAAGTTTTAAAATTGGGAGCATTCAGATTAAAAGCCAGATTCCTGACGTCTCTTAAAAAGGGACACATTCCATCTGGGGCCCACATTCCTCTAAGAGAACAGTGTGGCTAGATCTGGGTGGCGTGCCCCTATAGATGGGACACTGACTCCACGGTTAACTACAGTCTCCTCTTCTCCAAATTATGTCCGGCCCTGAGGTCTTTTCCCAGGGCCTTACCCTTGCTCTGTGTTCCTCTCCCTGGGCACTTTGGCCCACGTGTCTGGCCTTGCTGGCATTTGAGTTTGAGACCCCATGGCCTCCATCATTCTCTGTGCGATACCCTCCGTCAAACCACGCCGTTTCTTGTCACTCTGGGAAACACCCTGGTCCCTCTGAGCAGCAGTTTCTTCAGCTGGCACTCAGAGGCAAAGTTACCTGTGTCCTTCCAGCTTCCTCGCTCTATGGTGGGTTCCGGGCTCACTGCAGGGAGGGGACAGAAGTGTTCCTGCCCTCCCAGTCTCACAGGAGAGAGACATATCAAATGATTAATGCTGATTTCTATCAGGGCATCAAGAAAAGAAGTCCGGGCTGTCACGGACATGAAGACATGGGGGACCGGAGGGCAAATTAGGCAACGCTCAAACAGGTAAAAACGGAAAAATTTCTAAGTGAGAAATAGTGCTTTTATTAGCATTATTATTTGAATTAACTATTGCATTCTTTCATCTATTTCACTGAAGAATAGCTGGTGCTCTGGCCTAGAAAGGGGACGTCTTCAGATTTCAGAAGCATGGGCACCATGCCGTGCTTGGGAAGTTGGAGAGAAAAGGCAGATGAAAATGATCTGAGAGGCCACTGGTTGGCCAGGCGGGCTTGCAAAGCCTGAGCTGTCAAGCTTATCATGGGCTGGAAACGTGGGGCGGAGCACAGAGCACGGGGCCGGCAGGCGGACGGGCTGGGGTTGGAGCGTGGAGCTGACGCCCCCTCCGCCCGCTACCACCACCCACGTCCAGTAGCACCAAGGGCTGGTACTCTGTGCCTCATTCTAGGTGTCGTCGTCCATGCACTCGATCCGCACAACAGTCCTAGGAGGTTGGTATTATTATCACCATTTTACAGACAGGAAAACTGAGGCCCCAGAAGTCGCGGGACTTGCCCACGGTCACACAGCCCAAGAGGCACGGAGCCAGGCTGCGACTTCAGTTCTGTCTGATCAAAACCTTGTGTTCCTGGCCGAAGACCTGACACTCTCCCTCCAAACCCTCCACTGCTCCCCATTTACTCTAACTTTTTTCATAAAAACGTCGTACTTTGAGATAGTTAAAGCAGATAAAATTGTATGGATAACAATGAGAGAAATATCTTTGCTTCTACCGTCCTGCTTAAGAACCACACTGTGAGGTCGGCCCACAGAAGCTGCAACATTCAGCCATAATTCAGCTGAAGCCACGGTGTCTCCTTCCCCATCTGCTTGATCAGGGCTCTTTCCAGGCATCATGATTCGATTTCATCCTCACAGCAACCCTGAGAGGTGGTGGCTATCATCATCCCCACTGGAGAAGACAGCTAGTCACTCTGAGCCTCAGTTTACCTATAAATTGGGCGGAATAATTGTGTCATAGGTCAGCTTCCCTAAGATGGGATTCTTTTTTTTTCAATTGTGGTAATATATACGTAACATAAAATTTGGCATTTGAACCATTTTTAAGTGTACAGTTCCATGGCATTAAGTACATCGACAATATTGTAATGTAACCATCACCACCATCTACTTCCAGAAATTTTTCTTCTTCCCAAACTGAAACTCTGTACCAGTTAAAAACTAACTCTCCATCCTCCCCTCCCCCAGCCCCTGGCGACACCATTCTACTTTCTGTCTCTATGAATTTGACTCGTCTAGGGACCCCATAGAAGTGGCCCTGCACAGTACTTGTCCTTTTGTGACTGGCTTATTTCACTTAGCAGAATGTCCTCGAGGGTCATGCATGTTGTAGCAGGGGTCAGAATTCCCTTCCTTTTCAGGACTAAATAATATTCCATTGTATGGATAGACCACATTTGCTTACCTGTCCATCCATCAGGAACACTTTGGCTGCTTCCACGTTCGGCTATTGTGTGCTGCTATGAACGCGGATGTACAGATATCTGTCAGAGTTCCTGCTCTCACATCTTTTGTGTATCCACCCAGAAGTGGAATTGCTGGATCATATGGTACTTCTCTGTTCAATTTTTTGAGCAACCTTCATATGCTTTTCCGCGGCAGCTGCACCATTTTACATTCCCACCAGCAATGAACAAGGGTTCCAATTTTTCTACATCCTTGCTAACACTTATTATTTTCCATTTTTTGATAATACCCATCCTAACGCACGTGGAACGGTATCTCATTGCGTTTTTGATTTGCGTTTCCCTAATATTGAGCATCTTCTCATGTGTTTGTTGGCCATTTGCACATCTTCTTTGGGAAACGTCCATTCAAGCCCTTTGTCCGTTTTTTTAATTAGGTTGTTTGGGTTGTTTTTGTTGTTGCAGAGTTGTAGAAATTCTTTATATATTCTGGATATCAATCCCTTATCAGATATATGATTTGCAAATATTTTCTCTTTCTTGCCTTTTCACTCTGTTGACTGCGGCCTTTGATGCACAGAAGTTTTGAATTTTGATACAGTCCAACTTACCTATTTTTCCTTTTTGCCTGGACTTTCGGTGTCATGTCCAAGAACACATCGCCAAATCTAGTCATGAATCCCTTCACCTACATTTTCCTCCAAGAGCTTTACAGGCTTAGGTCTTTGATCCATTTTGAGTTTACTTTTGTTTATGACGTTCTACAGGTGGGGGTGCAACTCCATCCTTTGCGTGTGGATATTCAGCTTTCCCGGCACCATTTGTTGAAAAGACTCTCCTTTCCACATTGAGTCGTCTTGGCTCCCTCATCAAGAATCATTTGATAGGGGCCGGCCCGGTGGCGCAGCGGTTAGGTGTGCACGTTCTGCTTCAGCAGCCCAGGGTTCGCCGGTTCAGATCCCAGGTGTGGGCATGGCACCGCTTGTCAAGCCATGCTGTGGTAGGCATCCCACGTATAAGGTAGAGGAAGATGGGCATGAATGTTAGCTCAGGGCCAGTCTTCCTCAGCAAAAAGAGGAGGATTGGCATCAGATGTTAGCTCAGGGTCAATCTTCCTCAAAAAAAAAAAATTATTAAAAAAACCCACAAAGCCATACCAATGTGTAGCATTTGCCAGTATCCATGGGGTAAATACCCCCACTACAACCAATTTCAAGCTTCTGAGGGTTAAATAACAGGCTCCCCAAATTCCTGAATATTTAACAATCTCCTTTCTAGAGCTGGTATGAGCGGTCTGTGGCATGCCACTGTAAAAAAATCCTCAAACCACTGACCCATACCACAACACAGAGGACCCTTGAAACACTGTGCTGCGTGAGAGAAGCCAGTCACGAAAGGTCACAGAGTGTAGGACTCTACTTCCGCGAAGGATCCAGAACAGACAACTTCATGGAGACAGAAAGCAGATGGGCGGTCATCAGGGGCCGGGGGAGGGAGGAATGAGAAGTGACTCCTAAGGGGTTCCTTTTTTTTTAATATATATATATATTTTTTATTGAGTTATTGATAGGTTACAATCTTGTGAAATTTCAATTGTACATTAATGTTTGTCAGTCATGTTGTAGGTGCACCACTTCACCCTTTGTGCCCACCCCCCACCCCACCTTTCCCCTGGTATCCACTAAACTGTTCTTGGTCCATAGTTTTAAATTCCTCATATGAGTGGAGTCATACACAGATTATCTTTCTCTCGCTGGCTTATTTCACTTAACATAATTCTCTCAAGGTCCATCCACGTTATTGCAAATGGAATGATTTTGTTCTGTTTTGCAGCTGAGTAGTATTCCATTGTATATATGTACCACATCTTCTTTATCCATTCGTCTGTTGCTGGACACTTTTAGGTTGCTTCCACGTCTTGGCTATTGTAAACAGTGCTGCAGTAAACATTGGGGTGCATAGGACTTTTGGGATTGCTGACTTCAGGCTCTTTGGATAAATACCCAGTAGTGGGATGGCTGGATCGTATGGTAGTTCTATTTTTAATTTTTTGAGGAATCTCCATACTGTTTTCCATAGTGGCTGCACCAGTTTGCATTCCCACCAGCAGTGTATGAGGGTTCCTTTTTCTCCGCAACCTCTCCAACATTTGTTGCTATTAGTTTTAGATATTTTTAGATATTTAGATATTTTTGTCATTCTAATGGATGTAAGGTGATATCTTAGTGTAGTTTTGATTTGCATTTCCCTAAGGGGTTCCTTTTGGGGTGATGACAAGACTCTGGAACTAGACAGAAGCGTTAGTTGCACAACATTGTGAATGGGCACCCACGTTCGCTGCTGCATTATTCACAATAGCCCAAAGGTGAAAACAACCCAGGTGTCCACACACAGATGAATGGATGGATAAACAAAACGTGGTCTAGCCAGGCAGTGGAACATTATTCAGCCTTAAAAAGGAAGGGAAGGAAACTCTGACACGTGCTAGAATATGGATGAACCTTGAAGACATTATGCTGAGTGAAATAAGCCAGTCACAAAAGGACAAATCCTGTATGATTCCACTTAGATGTGGTCCCTAGAGGAGTCAGATCCACAGAGACAGAAAGTAAAATGGTGGTCACCAGGGGCTGGGGGAAGGCAGATGGGGAGTGAATGTTTAATGGATCCAGAGCTTCCATCTGAGAAGATGAGAAAAGTTCTGGAGGTGGATGGCAGTGATCGTTACACAACGTGAATGTACTTAATGCCACAGAACCGCACTCTGAAAAATGGTTAAGACGGTAAACTTTATGTTATGTGTATTTTGCCATCCCCGCCCCCCCCAAAAAAACCCTCCATCCTTAGCACTGCCATGGATGTTACAGAAATCCAGTTATTCATTTATTCAACAAATATTTATTGAGCACCTGTCTTGTACCAGGTCCAAGGTGCTTCTGGGATTTCAAAGGTGAGCCGAACGGACTCAGGCTCCTCCCTACAGTGCTCCTGGTCTACTGGGGCGGGGGCAGGCATTAGAAATATATAGATATCTATCTCTACTTAGACGTCTTGCACATTGTGAGAAATGCTGCAAATAAAATAAACTGGGCGCAGTGGAAGCTAGCCAGGGGGGGGTGACGTTTCAACTCTGCTGCCCACTGAGTAGGGGGTGGTGTGACATGGGTTCCAGGGAGGGATGGCAAGAGGGTAGGGCTCCCTGTCCCCAAGAAGCAACCTCCAAATCAAAAATATGAACAGTCCCCAAAGTATTTATAGAAGATAGAAATATAGAGAATTATGAGGCGCAGGAAGGAAATGAACATTTATGTGCGTCGTCCATTCATTTCAGGGATGAAGGGAGCGTCATTGGACCGCCCTTGACTCTGAGGGTAACATCGCAGAGGGAATTGACTACGTGGCCGGATAATCTCCTTTGAATTCTGCTTTTATAACATCTTCTCCTCAAGGACCTTCTGGGGCTCCATACTTCTTTCTTCTTTCTGTGACTAATAGCGAGCACTGCAACCTCTTTCGAAGGTAATCTGTGCTATCTTTCAAAATTTTAAATGCTCTGTGTTCTCACCCAGAATTCTCCTGCTGGCATTCACAGTGGGGACAGACACAAGTGGACAAGGATTTTCCAAGCAAGTCACTGATGTGGATGGTCAGCTTGCCTTGTGTGGGTCCAACGTTTGTGCTTTGCATCAATCATCTTATTTAACGTCCACTTTCACTATCCCCACTTTACAGATGAGGACGCTCGAGCACAGAGGGGCTGGGAGCTTGCCAAGGTCACACAGTAGGTGTCTAAGCCAGCCTCTGGCAAAGCCACCTGACTTCAGAGTCCCCACTGGCTGCCACTCTGCTATGTTCTCTTCTGGCGCTGGCCTGCTGTTTGCAGCTTGGCTGGGAGATTACAAAACTAGAAACAATCATCAGAAGAGGCAAAATTGAATAGATTATGGCACACCCGCTTAAGAAAAATGCGGAAAAAAATTTAAGTTGATCTGTATCGCAACATTATAACACAAGTGTCCATCAGTGGACGAATGGATAAACAAAGTGTGGTATATCCACACAATGGAATGTTATTTGGCTTTAAAAAGGAAGGAAATTCTGACACCTGCTACAACATGGATGAACTTTGAAGACGTTATGCTAAGTGCAATAAGCCCAACAGGAAAGGACAAATATTGTTTGAGTCCACCTACATGAGTAGACCTACAGCGGTCACATTCACAGAGAGAGAAAGTAGAATGGGGGTCCCCAGGGGCTGACGGGGGCAGGACATAGGGAGCTAGCGTACAATGGGGACAGAATTTCAGTTGGAGAAGATGAAAAAGTTCTGCAGTTGGATGGTGGCGATGGTTGCACAACACTGTGAATGTCCTTAATGTCACCAACTGTACGCTTTAAATTGTAGAAATGGTAAATTTCATGTTATGTATATTTTACCACAATAAACACACACACAAGTTGATCCAACAGGAAAAGATCATTGGGGCTCATCATTAAATGTGCTAGAATATGGTCCCACGATCTAAGGCCTTGCTACTAAGATTAACGGTGATCCCGAACCAGGGGCCTCAGCATCCCCTAGGAGCTTGCTAGATGTGCAGAGTCTCGGGCCATGACCCAACCCGACTGAATCAGCATCTGCATTTTACTCAGGTCCTCAGGCAATTTGTGCGCGCTTTAAGGTCTGCTCTCATCTTTATGCTTCAACAGTCACAGACGTTCTGGAAAGATACATAAGAAGCCTAAGACTGGCTGCTTCTGGGAAGAGGATTGGGTGGCAATGGGGACTTTTGAGGGAAAGGAATTTTTTTTTACCTTTCATTTTGGACCCTGATGTAACGTTTGCAATTTTTAACCTGCACGTCTATTACTTTAATAATAAATATAAATAACGACAGCGACTGTTTCCAGAGGTATTGTTGAGCATGCAGCATCTGCTGGGCATGTCACAGATGCTTTCATCTGCCAAATGGGGACAACAGGCTTGCAGGACTGTCATGAAGATTAACTGAGGTTGATGAACCGGAAACTTACGGGCATTGAGCAAATATTGGCCTCCCTCCCACCCAGCCTCGTTCGCGTCACCTTGCTGCCTTGAGCATGGAGGGCACTGACCTTTGTGAAATGTGACTTTGAGAAAGCGGCTTAACTCTCTGCAGTTTTAAACTAAGATCCATTCACATTCTTTCTCTAGCAACCCGCGGGAAGCCAGGGCATCCTTATTTATGAAAACTTGTTTTAAGACAGACATAAAGAGAGACCTCTGACATTAAATTATACTCAGAAAGCCAGACTGCATTTTGAATCAGTTGGGTTCCTAAAAGTATTTATCAACTCCATGAGCCAAGATTTCCCAAGGAAAAAAAACGTAATACGAAGGAAGAAAATAGCACTGGCATATGTTAAATATATGAGGGCTTTGAAATGGGCTGGCTCGTTTCAAACGGGTTGGCATTTGTTGTGTATATATAGCGTATCATTTACCAAAATAGCAGGGAACATTTATTTTACATAATTTTTCTGTTGAAAGAAGAGAAGGGCTTGAGGAAATAGTCGTCAACTTAAAGGTCTTGTTTGTACCCCCATGTAAGTCACCTTTGTGCCTTAAATTGGGGTCTGGGACTCGATTAGGGTATTTTAGATAAGGAAGCTTTTTCTCTTTTCATCTGAGCTTCTGGATTTTTATCCCCTGAGTTCACAAATCTATTAGACTGAAACGGAAGCTTAAACCTAACTGTGATTAGTACAAGGTGGCATTTAGTGTCTTGCGTGGAGAGAGGTGGCCTGCCATAGGGAAGAAGAGAGCCCAGCTCTGGCCAACAGACTGGCCTGGGTTTGAATCCCCTGCCCACGCCATGCAGCAGCTGTGTGACCCCAGGTCGGTTATCTTACCTCTCTGAGTCTTGGTTCCCTCCCTGGTAGAATGGAATGGTAATTCCTACCTCCTCGGGTTGCCATGGAGATGAAAGGAATCCATAAAGAGACAGCATCTCGCAGAGCCTGGCATAATCGTTCAGTATTTCAACAAGCATTTATTGAGTGCTGACTATGTGCTGAGTGCTGGTACACAAAGGGGGACAAAACAGATGTGGTCCCTGCCCTCATGAAGCGGATGCTCCCGTAGGGGAGATGGTTAATATACAAGTCAACAAAGAAATCATTCTACGTTTGCAAATGAGTGCTTCTCGAGAAGGAAACAAACAGGGTGCCAAGATATAGAGCAATCAGAGGAAGGCGTGCTCGTGGTAGACCTTCGGGAGGAGGCTGAGGTTAAGAGGACAAGGAGAGTCGCATACCGATGGGAGGAGGAGTAGAGAGAACAGCTAGTGCAAAGGCCCAGTGGCAGGACCAAGGAGTGGAGGTCAGAGAGACAGGCTGGGTCACGCAGAGCTCTGGAGACCATGGTGAGGACTTTTCCTGTGATCCTGAGACCAACGGGATGCCACTGCAAGGTTTCAGGTAGGGGTGAGGGGGTGGAAATGATCAGGGTTGAGTTTTGAAAAGACCGCTCAGGCACATTTTCCCACAAGAGGAGGAATAGATTGTGCAGAGTGTTTTAAAATATAAGCTTTATTATTATTTAGTATGGCAAGGCCGACAGACCAGGAGATGACTGCCATTGAAGAGATACTCTGTTACACTCACAGATCACAAGGGGAGGGGCAGGTGACACCTGGAGGGGCCACACGGGGAAGCACCAGGGCCGGTCAGGAGGCAGAGGGAGAGGGGAAAACGTGGGCTAGAGTGCTTACTGCCACGGGAGGGAACAGGAGCAGTAGGGTAAGCAGGCTGAGGATGGGCTAGTTCAGATAATTTCGCGGGCCTTGGGCACAGGGCTGCCCCCGATTGTCTGGAGCCTGGCCCTGGGGTGATTAGGGCAGGGCACGGGGGCTCTGGGTTGGTTAGTTAGCATAGGAAAGGTGCACTGGCAGGCAGGTCATTTACTACTTAATCCCGGGAGGGGCAGGCCCTCAGGGTCAGCAAGTCCCCAAGATGGCAAGGCATCAGAATACAGAAAATAAGAGGCAGGGTTAACCCAGAAAGATGACAAAGAGGAAGCAGGGAGACCCGAGAGGTGGCTGTGTGGTCTGCTGGTGGAGACGTGATGGTGGCTAGGAGGAGGGAAGCTACGGAAGGTGGGCGGGGTTGAAGCTTTTATTATTCATCCCCTCCTCCCCGCACCCCTCTTCCAATCAGTAGAGGAAGACATCTGCACAGGGAGGCCCATCTGCAAGGCTAACCAGCAAAGAGCCGGCTTTTAACAAGAGTCCCCATTTTGGGGGAACTCAGTCATCAACACTGACCACCAGCACCCCTCAGCTTTGTCCCGGGTACACAGCTATGCCCCACTGGGGATTCTTGGGAATCTGAAAGCTATTGGCAAATGGGGTTAAGCACTGTGGACCCAGAGCAGCAGAAACTGCCAGGGTCACTGACAAAATGGTCTTGCTTTGTCTCTTTCGAGACAAGACCTGGGCGCTCCCTGATCGGCGTGATTTGGGAGGAGTCTTCTCAGAGGCCGGACCTCTGTCTTCAAATATTTGATGTTCTAGTACCTGGAAGAAGGTCCTTGTTCAACGTGGACCCTGAGAACACAGCTTGAACTTCTGAGTATAAAGAAGAGGGAAGCAGATTTCAACTCAGTATAAGGAACTTTCTCAGGCAGAGAAGTCCAGAGAGGAAAGAGTCTGCCTTAGGAGGCACTGGGGCCCCCTTCAAGAGAGGTGGTCCAGGAGAGGCAGCCATCCACGTGAGTGGACTCGGGAGTAATGATATTCAACATGCAGCTCTTCAGCACGCCAGGGGCAAACCGAAGTCCTGTACATACTATCTTTTTTTTTTTTTTTTTGAGGAAGATTAGCCCTGAGCTAACATCTGCCAGTCCTCCTCTTTATGCTGAGGAAGACTGGCCCTGAGCTAACAGCCGTGCCCATCTTCCTCTACTTTATATGTGGGACGCCTGCCACAGCATGGCTTGATAAACGGTGCCATGTCCGCACCCGGGATCCGAACCGGCGAACCCTGGGCCGCCGAAGTGGAACGTGTGCACTTAAGCCCTGCGCCACCAGGCCGGCCCCTATACTGACTATCTTATATGATCTCTTCAACAACCCTAGGAGGGAGGCGTCATTAATATCCCCAGTTTACAGACAAGTAAACCACGGCTCAGAGAGGTTAAAATCAGGTCCCCTAGATAGCATGCAGTGTACCACGTCCTCGGCCTCAGTGGCTCCAGAACCCATAATCTTACCCAGTCAGCTGATGTTTCTCTAACTGAGGCCAAGAACACCCCCATGGAACTCATTAAAATATCAATTCCTAGGCCATTCTCCAGACCGAATGCTTTTGCATCGCTGCAGAGTAGGACCCAGGAATCTGAATTTTCATAAGATGTTGATGGTGGCCACAGACGTCCAGAAGCGTCTCAGAATTGGGAAGAGGAGGTATGAAGGGTCAGATATGATGGGTTCCAACGCACCTGTGTTCCTGAATGTCTAGAAGTCTATAATCAATGGAAATTTTAGTTCTCTGTGGATTTTATTTATTTGTATTTTCCTGCCACCCCCATCAACCCAAATGGCATTGAGCTTGTTCCCTGGATAGTGGACCACTAGCTTATATTCTGGACAAAAGGTAATGATCACACATAAATAATAGTTAGCATTCATTAAGCCCTTGCCGCGTGCTAGTATCTGCCGAACACTTTATTAACCTTGTGCCCTATGAGATGGATGCCAGTGCTATCCCCACTTTACAGATGATGAAACTAAGGCCTGGAGAAGAAAAGTAACTTGCCCAGGGTTACTTGCAAGCTAGCAGGAAGGGCAAGATTTGAATCAGGTCTGCGTGAGTAGAGAGCCCACGTCCTTAAAGATTCTGTGACAAGGCCTCAGTGGAGAGCGTGGGTAACTTCTGACTGCGGGAACAGACGGCCTGTGCTACGGCTTTCCAGGTAGTTTGTCTTTGTAACTTATTTATTCACTCACTCATTCAGCAAGCATGCAGAGAGCCCGTTCTATGTGTCGGACTGAACTCTGGCCGTCGTGAAGTTCACAGTCTTATTAAAGGTAAACTCAGCCTCAAGGAGGATGTACAAGTTGCTGGCGGAACCCACACGAGGGTCCCTACATGACTAAGGTCAGAGAGTGAGGCTTAAAGAGTGATCTGAAGATGCTTTGGGGAAAAAAAGACTGAATAATTTATTGTCTAAACTAGGACACTTTAGAGCAGTATTCTCAGTGGGGGGGGGGGGGGTGATTTAGTCCCCTAGGGGACATTAGCAATGTCTGGAGACAGTTTTGATGGTCACAACTTGGCGGGGAGTGGCTGTGACATCTTGTGGATAGAGGCCAGGGATGCTGCTAAACATCCTATAATGCATAGGCCAGCCCTTCACCACAAAGTACTATCTGGTCTAAAATGTGAATAGTGCCAAGCTTGAGAAACCCTTATTAAAGAGTGAAAGAGATGCTGTCAACCATCACAACAGAACAGTCGCCGGCAGCCAGGATGGTACCAGGCACACCCATCTAGAGAGGTTAGAATCACAGTCTTTTGAAGCTGACAATGCCCTTAAACGTGGCCCAGGCACCCTCTTACATCTCAGGGAAGTTAAATGAACTGGCCAAGATCATACAATGTCTCACATACACATCTGTGTAATTTGTTAAGCCCAGAGAAGAGTTTGGCTGGGCTGTAAAGCCACTGTCTGGGCCAGGAGGCCCTGGAACAATCCTCCCTAAGACCTAAGACCACCCAAACAATGACCTCTTTGCAAGGAGACCTTCTTGCCTTGTCCTCCGGACTGTTCCCCTTAAGCCCCAGAAACACACACCCCTCAGCGTGGAGCTGGCTGGCACATGCTTGAAATGATGGGGTGTGAGTGGCTTGGAGCTTGAGGGTTTAAGAGGCTTTGGTGGGCCAACCTTGAGGCTCCCTAGGCTATGGCAATAACTCCCTACTTCTCACCTGAAATGGGTGACAATGAACCCTCATCTCCCCTCCTTGACCAGGAATCTTCCTCCTTCACCCCCATGAGTCTCAGGAGGATGGGAGCCAGCATGAAGTCCCATGTGGACCCTAGCCACCTACTCTGGTCTGTGCCTTTGCGCAGAGGTCTCCTCACTTAGAGGAACTCGAAAACGAATCCTTTCCCAAGGTAACTATGGACCCAAAGAATTTGCCTGGGACAATTTCGAGAACATGGTCATGTCATCCGCGTGTCAAACTGCATTCTCCCAACCTCTGGTTTAATGGAAGGGGATGGGGGCGCAGAAGGCAAATGTGACGAAACAAGGCTATGGCTGACCTTTCCAGGTGGACTCAGGTGTTTAGCTGCTAAAAGGTAATGATGGTGGCCCCTCCTGTCAAGGAGAACGACTAAGCTGATGGCCAGATTTTCCTGGTTTTTCATTCATAAAGATTTTTTAATCCTTTGGCCTGTGTCTACCAGTCTACACTGGAACGCAGTATTGGATGAAATCTACAGCCATGTGTCCCCATACTTGGGCTACACTGCCGTGTGGAGCTTTCCCTCTAGTGAGGGACGACAGACACTAAACAATAAATAAGTAAATTGTGCGGTATGTCGGCAGGTGCTCAGTGCTATGAAAAAAAAGAAAAAGTAGAACATGATGCTGGAGGGGAGGGGAAGGGGCTGCAATTTTTTTCAATTGTGGTAAAATACACGTAAGATCAAATTGGCCATTTTAACCATTTTTAAGTGTACGGTTCAGTGGCATTAAGGACCTTCACAGTGTGGTGCAACTGTCACCACCATCCGTCTCCAGAACTCTTTTCCCCTTGGGAAATTAAAACTCTGCACCCACGAAACAGCAACTCCCTGTTCCCCTCTCCCAGTCCCCAGCCACCATTCTACTTTCTGTTTCTATGGATTTGACTATTCTAGGGACCTCATATAAGTGGAATCATATAGTATTTGTCCTTTTGTGACTGGCTTATTTCACTTAGTGTAATGTCCTCAAGGTTGATCCATGTTGTAGCAAGTGTCAGAATTTCTTTCCTTTTTAAGGCTGAATAATATTCCATTGTATGGATCGACCACATTTGTTTATCCACTCGTCTGTCGTTGGACGCGTGGGTTGCTTCCACCTTTTGGCTATTACCAATGACGTGACTATGAACATG